GGCTCAGTCGTTAAGCATCTGCCTTCGGCTCAGGTCATGATCCCAGGGTCCTGGGATCGAGCCCCGCATTGGGCTCCCTGCTCAGCAGGAAGCCTGCTTCCCCTCCCCCACTCCCGCAGCTCATGTTCCCTCTCTCGCTGTGTCTCTCTCTCTGTCAAATAAATAAATAAAATCTTTAAAAAAAAAAAAAGTTATCTAATTAAGACAAAACAAATTTTTAAAAAATTACCATTTCCCCCCCTTGTAACCAAGACTGGTTTCCTAGCCCACTGGAACCTGCTTCTCCTTTCACCAGAAGGACATCACAGAATACAAAATACAACCAGGCACTGTGATGGGGTCTGTGTGACAGCATCTCGGAAGACAGTGAACACAGCCTGTGGCAGGTTCAGTTCATTAATAAGGAACATGGCTTAGGCTCAGAGATTACCAGGTTCTAGCTGGATTTCCCTAGTTTAGGTGACTGAGCTAATTTTCATCATTAAAAATGTAAATGATTTTGAGACCTGTATAAGGAGGACATTAAATATACACAGCACATACTCCATCCCAGAACCCCGAGATCATGACCTGAGACGAAATCAAGAGTCTCGGATGCTTAACCGACTGAGCCACCCAGGTGCCCCAGGAATGTTATTTCCATAAATTTACCCTGAGACAGTAATTGAACAAAACACATTGTATATGAATATAGGAATATTCACCAAGAAAATGGCAAAAAGCATAAATGTTCAACAGGAAATCATTTAAATGAACACAGTATGTTCATATACAGGATAAGATGGAACTATTAAAATTACATAGGACTGTATATATACTGAATGTAAAGATATCCACAGCATATTGTTATAAAATTATAAGATCCTATTTTAGTCTTAAAATGTTTTTATGTACTTTTTTATATTGTATATTCCTCCGATGCATCACATAATTTGTACTTTTTATATTGTATATTCCTCTGATGCATCACATAATTTTATTCACAAATATTCCCATATGTATTTTAAAAGATAAGGACGCCTCCAAAAACCATGGTCTTATTTTTTATACCAAGAAAATCAAATTTCTTTTCTTTTTTTTTAGGATTTTATTTATTTGAGAGAGAGAGAGAGCACACGCTCGAGAGAGAGCACAAGTGGTGGAGGGAGAAGCAGGCTGCCCATCGAGCAGAAAGCCCGATGTGGGGATGGACCCCAGGACCCAGGGATCATGACCGGAGCCTAAGGCAGCCGCTTAACTGACTGAGCCACCCAGGCATCCCAACAATTTCTTCTTAATACTATGAAATAACCAGTGTGTTCAAATATCTGTCTCAAAATTTTTTTTACAGTTTGCTCAAATCAGGATCCAAGTAAGATGTACACATTGGAGCTGGTTCATATGCTTCAGCCTTTTTTTTTTCTTTAGAGAGAGAGCAAGAGACGGGTGGGGTAGAGGCGGAGGAAGAGGGAGAGAGACTCTTAAGCAGACTCCATGCCCAGTGCAGAGCCCAAGTTGGGGCTCGATCTCACAAACTTGAGATCATCACCTGAGCTGAAATTAAGAGTCAGACACTTAACCAACTGAGCCACTCAGTTGGTTTTTTGTTCCATTTACCATGTTCCCTTGCCTCCTATATTTTCCCAGTACCGGCACTTAGTAGGTATTAATCAGATTCACATTTGATAATTTGACAAAAAAACTTTGTGGGTGGTGTTGCATTCTCCATCAAAAGACACTTAACATCTTGGCAGGAGGGGAGGGGGGTTGTTATCTGTAGATAAAATAGTTTTCAATGTATTAAGTACTGTGAACAATCCTTGGTTTTGGAAAATGAAATTTAATTAAGTTTGTTTGATTTGCATATATTTAACAAGTAAAAAGAATCATATTTTATTTACTTCTGTTGAGAAACATATGTTGACAAATGGCAGAAATGTCATTCACAGAAGGATATTTTACACACTTCTTTAATCTTCAGCTTACCTCACCCCGAAAGCCATAGGTAGAAATACGAGCTAAATCCTCAAAGGACTGCAGTTTACTTGTAGTGAACCTCTCACACACAATATCCAGATCTTCTTTCTAGAAGATACCAAAAAATAAGTAAATAACTATGTTATTCATTTTTTCCAAATCCTGAATTTCCCTTTTCTTGACTGAATCCAAGAAGCAACCCCTCTTAGGAGAAGAGTTTTAAAATCAGCAGTAACTTCCTCATGTGGCATCCAGAATGCCACACTGTCCCGGTGTCCCTTCTCTCTCATGAGTCACATTTCTCACCTGCATTTGCTGGTTCCGCCTCATCTCTGACAGCGAGGTTACCCAGGACTCCAGCCTTGGACCTCTTTGTCGTCTACACTCACTCTCTTGATGAGTTCTCCCAGCCACACAAATTTTATAAAAATCATTATTATTATTAGAAAACTTCTTTATTAAAAATCTATAGGGCATTTAATTACAGTAAAATACACATAACAAATTTTACCATTTTAACCATCTTTAAGTGTACAGTTCTGCGGCCATAAATACATTCGCACTGGTGTGCAACCATCACCACTATCCATCTCCAGAACTCTTTCATCCTTCCAAACTGAAACTCTGTCCCCATTAAACGATAACTCCCCATGCTCCCCTCCCCCAAGCCCCTTGCAACCACCATTCTACCTTCTATGAATGGGACTACTCTAGGAACCTCCTAGATGAGGAATCATACAATATTTGTCCTTTTGTGACTGGCTTATTTCACTTAACGTAATGTCTTCAAGGTTCATGCATATTGCATCATGTGTCTGAATTTCAATCCTCTGTAAGGGTAAATAATACTCCATTATGTGTACACATCACATTTTTAAATCCACTCATCTACAGAACCCTGGATTGCTTCCAGCTTTTGGCTATTGTGAATATGCTGCTATGAACATGGGGGGACAAATCTCTTCAAGACCTTGCTTTCAATTCTTTGGGATACATACTCACAAGTTCTGCTGAATTGCATGGTAATTCGATTTAATTTTTTCAAGAATCACCATACTATTTTCTACAGCGGCTACACTGTAGAATGCATTAGGGTTCTAATTTCTCTATATTCTTATTTTATTGTTTTTATAATAGCCATCCTAATAGGTGTCAAATGGTAGGTCATTGCTCCTTTTATTCATATTTCCCTAATGACTTGTTATGTTCAACACCTTTTCATGGGAGTCTGATGGTTTTTAATACCATCAAAATTCAATACACTAAATTTTTATCTCCAGCCCAAACCTCTATGCTGCCCTCCAGACTCACATGCTTACTCAACTAAGAGCCATCTCAAGGTTACCATGCCCCCAAACAAATTTCTGATCTGCCCCCAAGTGTGTTTTTTCCATAGGCTTTCCCATCAGTAAATGGCAACTCTGCCATTTGCACAGGCCAAAACCTTGAAATCATTCTTTACTCCTCTTTCTCTTATACCATGCATCAGCAAATTCTGAGAGCTCTGTCTTAATAATCAATGCAGAATCTCACTGCTTCTTGCCTCTCTACTGCAACCAAACTGGTCCAAGACATGGTCACCCTGGACTGCTCCAAGAGCCCTCTTACTGCCTTGGTACTGTCCTGCTACAGTCTGTCTTCCATAATCTAGACAAAAGGGTTCCTAAAAAACTCCACAAACCATGTCACCTCTTTGCTCAAAACCCCCACTTTATACAGAGTAAAAGCCAAAGATTTTACAGTGGCCCACAAGGTCCTACGTGACCGGCCTACTTAGTTCTCAGACTTCATCTCCTATTATTCTTCCACTCCCTCACCCTGTTAGAGACACACTGGCCTCCTTGCTGGTCCTTAAACAAGTCAAGTGGGCTTCCGTTTTGTGGTCTTTGCATGTTCTATCTGCCCAAGAACATTCATCCTTTAAGCAGCCTCTTAACTCTCTCCTTCACCTTATTTTCCTGAATAAGTGTCCAGTTTAGAATAGGTACTCAAGGGGCGCCTGGGTGGCTCAGATGGTTAAGCGTCTGCCTTCGGCTCAGGTCATGATCCCATTGTCCTGGGATCGAGCCCCGCATCGGGCTTCCTGCTCAGCGGGGAGCCTGCTTCTCCCTCTCCCTCTGCCTCTCTCCCTGCTCATGCTCTCTCCC